CGATACTGATCGGCGGAGGCTGTTTGCTAAAGAATTTCCGCGTAATAGCGCTGTGTTGAAGATTGAGCGGCTGCGAGTTGGCGCCGATGATTATATACGGCTCTGGGGTGTTCTTTGGCAGCCCTGGGGTTGATGTCTTCTTAAGGTGGACGCCATCGATGGATTGGTTGGGTGTCGCCTGCCCGGGATTCTGAACCTGAGCTTGAGCCCGAGCTTGGATTTCGGCCTGTTCCCGCAGTCGAACCAGGCTCTTTTCTGAAAGATTCCTAACTATTTCCGCCTTCTCCCGTTGCATACTACGCATATTGGGAATGGTTGGGCTTGTAGGAGGGGGTGTCGGAGGTATATCGCCTGTAATGTGGACAAGCGCTTCGACACTAGCACCCAGTAGTTTAAGAGCTGCAATAGGGGATAATTTGAAGAGGTCGTGAGAGGACGGACTCGGGGCGGTATGGAGCGGAGGCGGCGTTCGAGCTTGCATTGCCAATTTCGGGTCTGCTGAAGGAATAGGAGGTGGAGGAGGTGCAGTCGGTGTCGCGCTATCACTTCCCTTGTCCTCGTCTACTTGAGACGCTCCGGCGTCTGACTGGCCATTGTCGCTTGCCATTTGAACCCTACTCCCTTTCTTCCCTCGAACTAAACAGTTGACCTAAAACTATTACTACTAGGTAGTACTATGACGGATCAACCTCGAGCGGTATAGGATGAGCTCGAATCTATCGCAGTTGAATAAAGTGGTCCGGCAAAACCTGTTATCGCTCAGGATTCGATTAAGCTTGCTAGTGGATAGTACCGGGTGCTATCGAACTGAAGAGAGCTCGTGATATTTTGATCTCCGGCCCGTGGCTTGACTCATGGTCTCTCATAAAAATAACGAGGTAAGTAGCTCAATATCAGCTACCAATACACCAAAGGATATATTGCACGCCCTGGTCTTTCGGTTGACTTGTCAAAGAGCTAGGAGCTATATGTTACCGAACTTAATATGCCAGCTACAGGAGCTTAACAGATCTGATAGATATGTTTTGATCAGGGCTGCGAAACCATATTGATGATAAGTTGCAGTAGCTAAGAGATCGTCGGTGGTAGCATCGCCACTCTTCAGGACGGACCTATGAAAGGCGGGTTTGACCGAGTTCTATATCCTAGTACAATAATGAGCCGCGTGATAGGCGAACCAGAGTCGAAACGAAACCAAACAGGAATAGGTGGCGGTCGAGGCTAAGGCTAGATGGAGAAATCAAACATTTAAGATGAGGGACCAGATTTCCATTATAATAAAAATGAGGGACTACCTAAGATTAAAAAAATGATGGACCTTGGAGAAGTAGTTGTTCTGGCCGTCCGATTTAAGGTTTTCCTCTTTCTCGCTTTGTCGAAACTTAGGCCTTTTTTACCCCTGTAAAGCATCTGGGAATACGGATTAGAGTATTGTGTACCTGTACCCAACCCCTCCCACGCTAGGAGATTCTAGCCTGCCTCGGGCGAAATATGGATTTTAGTTCGGGCCTGAACATGTTGTACATATTATGTACCTACAGGTCACTAGGATGTTCAATACTATTTAGTGGAGATGTTATTTGAAATAGTTAATAAATATTATACTATTTTATTTATATGGTAAAGTATAAAGCTTTTAAAAGATTTTGGTTTAATTTTTATTTAAACCGGTAATTTTAAATGATAAAAGTTTTTTCGAAATATAAAATACGTATTTTACTATAATATTTCGAGTGTTTTAATATTTTGCTTTTTTTAATAACATCTCCACTAAATAGCATTGAAGATCCTGGTAAATTGTAATGCATTAAGTAGGTACCCAAGTCCAATAGAATTTGCATTTATTACATGTAGTTAGTCCTTTCGATTATCGATATTTTGATCTCTTACCAGGTCCAAGAGCACTTACAGCTTACATGCTTGTACAGGGGCTTTTCTACAGGTTCAAAAGACCTGTGACCCTATTTAATAGTCCCGAATTGGAATACCGCAGGACCCCGCCAACCCACTAATTGGAAGTTATCACGCTTACCATTACTAAATACACGATGCGATACCTCCTCAAGTGCGGAGTGTGAAAAGATGGGTGGGTGATGGTCGAGAGTACTTCGTAGAGATATGACAAATGACAAAGATAATTCACAAATTACCAATTAAGAAGACAATGCCGAATCAGGTCTCCAGTAGGACAAGGCTCCGTGTCGAGGTATCAATGGCACGTTCAAGCTGGTCTGTACCTCTTATCTTGTGTTGCAAGAGAATTTACATGTGAATCGCGAGCGTCCTGCAACAAGGTATGGACTAAAAGCAGGTACAGCATCTCCAAAATATATTAACTAACTAACCTAAGAGGCTTATCAGTTATTAAAAGAGCTAATGACCCGAGATTGGGAAGTATTCGCGTCCAAACGGGTACGAATAACGTGTCCCAAGTCAATTGACGGCTCTATAAACCAATAGGCTATGTTCTATATAACTACCATACCGGCAATATGTGGTTTTGAGATATCATATTTTGGGGGTGGAATGATTCTTGTACAAGTTATCCTTGCCTATACAGGAATGGTTTCTCTGATTGGGCCAATATATTATTGTAATATTAAAAAAATGAAGGTGTGGGTAATAAGGTTTAACAACGGACCAATTGTCAACAGCACTAGTGGACTGGCCACCCACTAGAGCCGTTAGCTCAATCAAAACACTCCCGCATTAGCGGGGATGTTGTGGTGGGGCTAGGAGCCTGGGGTTCGAGTCCCAGGCATCCTAGCTTTTTTGATTTTTAAGCTTTTTTGAAGTCATGTGACTTAACCCCACTTATTCTAGCCAATCAAAGCTTTAGATTTTAAGGAATCATTCTTTTACAAGGAATGATTATTTTTAAAAGAATGATTATTTCGTAAACTATCGTATTAGCCATAACAAAGGTTAGAATGAGAAATATGATTCCTGGAACCCATACACTGCCGCTACGGTAACTAACTTACTCTTATTCTATGTAATAAATACGCGAATGCGGGATGTACCGTTTGGAGATCTACAATTTTAGGGAAATATCTGGACAGGGACAGCGGTAGGCCTTGCGTGGCTGCGTGGCAGGGTAGCATTCGGCATGCACCGTCGCGTTTTTGAAGTCTAGTACATATAAAGATGACATGATAGAAAGTGAGAACTTCATGAGAAAGATAGGTACCTACTTAGGCAGCAGACCAGCTGATGCTAAGAGATTTTCGTGAGATGCATGTTTAAGGGTCCAGAACTTGACGAGGCGTTTAAGATGCCCACTTCAACGATTTAGTCCATGCAGTCTCGATCGCTTGTATCGCCAAGGTCCATGTATATCGAAACAATATATGGATACATCTCAACATGTAGGTATTGCAATAAGAGAACCGGCAGTCTCCGAATTTAATATCTCTATGTATGCATCAAGTATTAGTAGTACAAGTCAACGTTGACAATTTCATTTCTGAAAATCTCATGCAAGGGAAAGATAATATAAATCCCATACCTAATTAGCAGAAAAGGTTGGTGCAAGTGATCCATTCCCCACGACCATACATACATCCCCAGATGCTATTATGTACATGAACAAACCAGCCAATATAACCCCTTCCCCTATCCCACGAAAGTAAATCACAAGCAGTTTCGCCGCCTCCACCCAGGCTACGCTTGGCATTACCCCAGACGTACCGGTGATCGACAATCTCTCCAGCGCAAACCCCACGGCAGCCTGAATGCGTTCTGCAGGACCTAACCTAACCTATAAAAGATCAGACCAATACGTAAATCATCAATCGTCAGCGCGGCGTGGCTACGACGACATGACCATCGAGGAATTCATAGAGACCAATAGGTATAATCCTGCTCACCAACTTACATCCCCTTCACCTATTGACTTAGGTACCTAACCTATATAAAGCCGAATCGTGATATCTCAGGCAAAATACCTATCCATATCAACTTCCCCGTTTGCGCGTCATTACAGCGTCAGCCGAAGCACGGCTCCCTGCGGCAGGACCCTTCTTGCATGGATAGCACCTCCAAAGGATCGACGCAGTGATCCTTCAAGAATACACGGGACTCGCATATACGTACATATATACAACACGCATACATACGGGACCAGGTGACGCTCAGGGGCTCGCTCCAACCGAAAATACCCCAAACCCCCCATCAGCCAGAAAAGTCACGAATACATAAGAGCCCAGCAGCGCTAATAGCTGTCGACCCTAAACTCGCTTATGTACCAACAACCTAAGCACGTCCCTTTCCCCGTGGGGAAGAGTACGCAGGCGTAGGTAACCCAATACCTGCGCCTTAAGGATCTAGCATAGCACGCGACCTTGTTTGATACGAAAAGCAGAACGCCTGCATACTCAACATGCGTAATGGCGAAGTACTATAGCGAAAGCTTATATGTATATGACGAGGAAACCTCAACTACATATGCAAGGCCTTAGTAAAATGCTAGATGTACATATGCATTAGATTGGGTATTTTAGGCACCGAAGCTAAGAAGGCTATGGAGTGAGTACCTATATATAGAATCCGTGATATAAACAAGACTAAAATCCAGAAACTCGACAAGTTGCTGCCTATGTACATAGTCCTTGGGTACCTACATAGAGCCCTAAGTAGACCATGAGGTAGGCATAAAGACCAAGTCGCTCTACGTACTGTCCCGGCATACATAGCATACACATATCCACTCACATACATGTTTCTTCCTATGATGGGTTCATATAACTAGTCGAACCACTGATAAATCATACCACGATGGTGTGTATCGTCCAGGATGACATGCTCTAATACTAAGATTCCCATAGAATACCAATTTATATGGATCAATTTCTGCTATGACTCGCAACAGTGCACGATTTACCTACCCGCTCAATCAGCACGTCTATGTATAGTATATACCTACGTCCATGTGACATATCGTGATGTTGATCCCGGCTTTCAATGCAGAAGCAGCTGCTCCTATTCCAGTAGGTCTAAGATTAAGATCCAAGATTGACCTTGCAGTCCAAGACAGCACTCTGACCGCTTTCGACCGCTTTGATGGCGTCTTTGATAGTACGTTCAAGATTGTCTACCTTGTCAACCCTCGCCGCGAACAAGTCGCCTCCAGCAGCCGCCTTGGCAATACCCGCGTAATCTGGGACGGGATCGAACGAGATGTTGATTTCCTCGTTCGTTGCTGTTGACCCTAGACCGTTCGGGTGTACAAGGAGCATCGACTTTCGAGGGGCGTTCCAACCTGTTTTTTATGATTAGTCTTGCTCATATGTTCTTTGCTATTAAATGTCTTGTTGGCATGACTAGGGACTCACCCTTGTTATTTAATACGATGGTTAATACCGGGATATTGTAGCGCCTGGCGATCCAGTATACACTGCCGGGGACGGAGAATAGGAACGTGCCGTCGCCCACGATTTGCACGACAAATTTGCCCTTTCCACCGTTTTCCGCGTCTGTTGCCAACTTAATTCCCATTGCACCGCCACCAGACCATCCCAAGCCACCTCCACCGCAGTTGATCCAGGAACCCGGTAGCTCCGGCTGGAGATTATCATGCACGAATGCGGTATTTGTCACCGCTTCGATGGCCCAGATCGTATCCTGCGGGCACAAGGATCGTAGGGTTTTGGTGAGATACCCAGTGCCGAAGGAACCGTCCTCGGCTGGCTTTGCATTGGATGCTATGGTATCCAGGCGTTCCTTGTATGATGCCTGAAGAGCCTCCCATTTCTTCGTAGCAACTGCTGTATCGATACTTGAAGCCTGACTTTTGGCTTCGGAGATGATCTGCTCGACTGCGAGTAGAGGCTCCGCGCGATATCGATGTTGAGCCGGTACATAGAAGAGCGGCATGAGCTGCTTTAGGGGGTCAACGTCAATGTGGAAAACCTTTGTACCATCCTTCGGTTTGTTTAATGTCGGAATCCAGGGGACGTCGCAATCCAATATTACAATCGCGTCTGCTTTCTCTATCCATGGGTCGATACCGAATCGAAGGCCGATCCAAGCGGGGTGGGACGCGGGGAAGCACATATCACTACCACCTGTATCAAGTACACGCAATCCCTTCACAGTGTTAGCAAGCTCTACTAGAGCAGCGGGTATTTTATGATTTCGACCCGAGTATCCGGTGATAAGCAACGGATTTTCAGCACCGAGTAATGCTTCCGCAATTTGCTGAGGAGCTTTTGGCGGCAAACCACCCAGCTCAACCGAGTCCCAAACATTCTGCTCTAGCGAATACGGGTTGATTTCCTCTTCCATCACTTCTCTCGCTCCCACCAGATGAACCGGGCCCTGGGGAGCACTTGTGGCGAATTGTAAGGCGCGGTTGACCATCTGCTTAATATTCTTGCCCGTCTTGATTTCCTCTGCATATCTACAGTACTGACCGATGATCTGGGTTTGATTGGGAACATTCTGAATCCAGTGGATATATTCAGTCCGCGATCCGCGCATCTCTCCCTCAAGCGTGAAAGGACTTAAGCCGGCAAAGACTAGAACCGGTGCGCGTCCAGTACTGGCGTTATGGACTGCGGCTCCTAAGCCCTGCGTACCAACGTCGACGTGGACAATGACGCACTGTGGCTTACCCGTCAGACGCGCGTAGCCGTCGGCCATTGACATCGCTACCATCTATTGGCGCAGAGTTAGTTTTAATTATTTTGATTGGCAGCGCAGATGCAAGCCAGTTCCATCCTATCATTACCAAATGATACCTCTAAGAGGTACCTAAGGTATCTACGAACGTACCTCATTTGGGCATGTAATGATACGTGGGAATTTACCCTTAGCCTCCCTCTGTCCCTTTACCATAGCTTCGATAATACTGGGATGGTCCGAGCCTAGGTTGACGAAGCAGTGCGTGACGCCTGCCTCCCATATCGCCTCGAAAAAGGCAAACGATGCTGTGTACATGACGGGCTTAGACGTAGAGGATGCGCGGAACTGTTGCTGTTTCAATATGTCTAAAGTGAAGGACTCTTGTTGAGTATTTCTGGTTGTTGCTCTAGACCCGGAAAGGCGTTGCGTGAGAGCTTTTGTACTGTATGATCTGGCACCAGCTGCTAAAAACTTGGAAGCATTCGTTGCAGAAACAGAACCATTATACAAACTTGTGCTACGGTGGGAGGTCTTATTAACATAGCGTTGACACACACTTAAGCCACGAAGGTCGAGCCCATTGGTTACTCCATGGCAAGCCAAGTTTTTGCCGAATAGTTCCCCTTCGTACCGATTGCATGCGCCATCGACAGGTGCGGTTTCGGTCCATGAAGTCGGGATGGACAGGTCAGTGGGCATGGGTCCGGCAAGTCGAGACAAGTAGGAACAGTGTGGGAGATCATCCACCCGGTATTCCCGTTGCGGGGATACTGAAGGCGCTGGGGATGATAGCGTGAACCATAGTGAGGGTGGAGAAGTGGAAGAACGAGTAGAATAAGGTGTACGGTAAGGTGGGGGAGGGGTTAAAGACAGGGATGAAGACTTGGGGATTGGCTTCCGGAGCCCGCTTCGTCTGAGCATTTTTGGAGATTTTAGGTATTATACCTAGGTAGATTCCTTCTAGAGATGCGGGGGAAGGACGCTAGATTGGCTGGATTCGCTGGATTCGCTGGATTCGCTGGCTATTGCTAACTATGCCGAGTATGCTGACAGCAGGGCGTACCTGTACTGTCTGTCCGTCCGAAGTCGTTGCAAGTACCACCGCTTAGCAAAGGAAAGACACGGCGATACAGAACGGACGAAAAAAAGGAAGCAATCGACGGGTGCAACGTGTAAGTTGTTGAGTGAGATTCCGAATGACAAAAGGGCTAAGTTGACAATTATTTGACAAGATCCGGCTCCATTAAGGAATTGACACCGGGAAGATCTTTTGACGATGTCTTCTTTTGAGTATAATTGTTCGGGTTGATTCGACTGTAGTAGAAATACCTTGTTTCCGGATTGGTCGTATCAAGAATTTAGAATGGGAATGTTGAAGGAAGTAAATATGAGATTTTCTGGAATGTGCGTATATAAAGTACATAAATAGACTTATGCTTTAGGGGGTACACAACATTGAAGTTAAACAACCAAGCATTAAAGGTAACTACCTCCTACTTACGTATAGAGCTATAAGCGGTTCACCTTCGGCTTTATAAGTTCGTTTACTAACACCCCATTTTATGTGTGTGCATCGGTATATGCAGCATGCAGCATGCAGTTGAGGTCATGTTGTTGCCGAATAGAGACATATTTTTCGTAGGATAATATGTAAGAATCGGGTAGGTATGGTTCCTAAGTCCTTATAGATAGTGCGTATCCCAAGTTCTTTCCGACTCTCTATACAACATTACTCTAACAACTTCAAAGTTCTCTCAAGTATGACATACATATGTACGTCACTGTGGATATGACAATACCTGTACCCCACGATGCACATGTAGTACTAACTTGACATATCGCTTATTATCGGCAGGTAAAGAGTGCCGAGATACTGATTATCTAACAATAGGTCTTCGTTGATAACAACGCGGACCCTAAGGCTTAGTAAGACATGTGTGTCTTTTTCTTATATGAATAGAGTCACGTTGTTTTAAAGTAGCACAATGCGATACCTGGGACTTCGTGAACCCCGAGATGCGGCTCTGCGTGTAAGCTGAGTTGTATGCTATTGTTTTTTTCGTCATAGTTAATATTAAATTTAGCATTTCCCCATCGGGGTGTGACGTGTCGAAAATCGATCGGACAATTGAAGTATAGCGTTTTGGGACAGATATATATTTTTGAATCATCGGTTTTTGAAAATATACGATAATTTTTAACGAATACGAGTATATGGAATGATAAAAGGGGTCATTCCGCAATGCACGCACTACCTATGTCAGGTGCGTAAAGGGATGTTGGATTTGACTGCCGTACGAAGTACTCGTCGATTTGCTAATACCCCTGGAAGGCTGGAAGGGTCAACGTTACCCCCAGGTCACCTGTGAGGTCATTTCTTAACCTGGCGAATCAGAGATAGGCGATCCGTCCCCAGAATATATCGGTGACTTTCGGTAGCTGTAATTGGCTAAATTGGCGCCGGTCCTGGAGGACCGAGCTCTTTTAGGGCACTTGTGGTCAATGCAGCTCACACCGAAAGATGTGGCACGATACTTCTAGTTAATAAATATGAACATACTGCAATCTTACTCGCATCTCGAAGTGTCTTGAACTGCGAAAGATAGCCTATTCTTCTCTATGGCTTAAGCCCATGTCGAACTTATGTGGCTTATTATTCATTCGGGCTGGAATTTAGGCGGGTTTCTTGCTATTTATCTGTCGATAGCTTGATTTGACCGGCGCCCTTCATCCAATCCCGGCAACCTCACGACTGTATTGGCTTGTCAGCGGCGTTGAATACCTAGACCAGGGAAGCTTAAAAACCAAGACATATACCTGACTATAGAATCCTATTGATTCGGGCGGTCTCACTAAAAACTAACAAGACAAAGTCGGTGACTGGATCAAAAGTAATTAACACGCTGGACTTGGCCGAGGGGCGCGATCCTTGTCAAAGCTCCCTTGAGTCCTTATTGGGCAAGTAGTATCTGGGGGTCACAGGGTAGTCATGGTAATAAACCTGGAAACAATCAGACATGCAAGGAAGCGTAAGTAATAAAAGAAATCATGTTTGCGACTTCTCCCAAGTCGACAAACACAGCCCTCTCTCTTACTCACACGGGAGTCAAGCTTTCTCAAAGCTCCTTTCGACAAACGCCATTCCTCAAAGGCTTTCCCTTTTGGATCTGAACATATTCGAAAGACCAGAACGCCTTGAGCTTTTAGGCTCGCCAAACCTCTTCACCCTCTTCACCTAAAATACCTCCCTACCTGATAAACCATACTTTAGGTTGTATACCTTTGTCTTGGATATAATGGGGCAAACACCAAGCACTGCACTTTCCGACTGTCTCAACGCCGTCTGCAATGGCCGCAACGACTGCGTCGCATTTCCTGACAATCCGCTTTACCAAGTATCCTGGGTCAACCGATATAATCTCGACATTCCGGTAGAGCCGATCGCCGTAACGAGGCCGGATAACGCCCAGGATGTATCGGATTTTATCAAATGCGCCGTTGCGAATAACGTCAAGGTCCAGCCGAAGTCCGGCGGTCATTCTTATGCGTAAGCGCGAGTCCGAGTTACCACATATTTGCCGTATTGACTTTTACTAACACCCACGTAGAAATTTCGGTATGCGCAAATACTAGAAAACACCTCGCGCCGTGGAGAGTGAGCTAACACGCAAGAAACAGGTGTTGGAGGACAAGATGGCGAACTCGTCGTCGATCTCGTACATCTTCAGGACTTTTCTATGGATAACAACACGTGGCAGGCCTCCATCGGTGGAGGTACTAGGCTCTCTGATGTGACCAATAAGCTTCACGACAACGGCAAGCGAGCCATTGCTCACGGAACGTGTCCCGGAGTTGGTATTGGCGGTCATGCCACCATTGTAAGTCCTATCGTTTCTGCTTATACATAAGGAAGCTCTGCTAATAGTGTTGTCGCAAGGGTGGACTTGGTCCTTCGTCTCGCATGTGGGGATCATGTCTCGATCACGTTATCGAGGTAGAAGTAGTCACCGCAGATGGCTCTATTAAACGAGCTAACGAGAAGGAGAATAGCGATCTTTTCTTCGTGAGTATATCATGATCTAACTTGGATGTCACTCACTTACATCAACAATAGGCATTAAAGGGGGCAGGTGCAGGTTTCGGCGTCATCACCGAGTTCGTCGTCAAGACGCACCCTGAACCTGGTAACGTTGTGCAATACTCATTCTCACTGTCCCTCGATAAGCACACCAACTTGATATCTGTATTTCAACAATGGCAGGATCTCATCTCGGATCCCAACTTGGACCGACGATTTGGTACCGAATTTGTCATGCATGAGCTTGGTGTTATCATCACTGCCACATTCTACGGAACCGAAGAGGAGTGGAAAGCTACTGGCATTCCCGACAAGATTCCCGTTGGAAACGTATCAGTAGTTGTCGACGACTGGCTAGCCGTCATCGCTCAGCAGGCAGAAGACGCTGCTCTTTGGCTGTCGGAACTCCGCGTCGCATTTTCTGCTAAGAGTTTAGCTTTCCGTGCTGATGAGACACTATCCCCGGATACGATCTCTACACTTATGAACTACATCGACGACACGAAACGAGGCACACTTCTTTGGTTCTTGATCTTCGACGCTTCTGGCGGTGCGATCAGCGATATTCCCATGAACGCGACCGCCTATTCACACCGAGACAAGATCATGTTCGCTCAAGGATACGGAGTCGGCGTTCCTACCTTGAACCAGGATACGAAGGACTTTATGAACGGCATCATGACCACGATCAAGAGCGGTTCCGCGCAGACCTTGACCACCTACCCCGGATACGTCGACCCGTCATTGACAGATGCTCAGGCATCGTATTGGGGCCCGAACTTGGATGCTTTGGGGTCAATTAAATCGAAATGGGATCCGAACGACTTGTTCCATAACCCGCAGAGCGTGAGGCCGGCAGAAACTGATTAGGAGTCAAAAGGAGAAAGGAGATTTTGGCATTGATACCCCCTCTTCTGTGTTAATAATTTGATAATACCTGTACTTACATACCGTAACTTGCCATCTCATTCCTCCATTCATTGCCATTCGTGTCAATTATTGGAGCCGCTTCGGCTAATCTGCTCTGTCAACTGATCAATATTGCATGTCGTAACTAGTCTACCTCGTGAGGCTTTTCGCAGAGATCGCCAGAGAGATTATCATAAGAGCATATCTCGCCGGAAACTCCCGGCACAGCAGAGCTCAGCTCGTCGGTGACTCCGATATTCGCACCTCGATGGTTCCTAACGCCTTTGTGCAACTCGAATAAATGCGTTGTGTAAAAAAGTTTGTCATGATACGACTTGAAGCCGTAGACCATTAGAACTGCCATCCGAAGCCAAGGATAGATAGATAGGTAGCCCTCTTTTAGTCGGATATTAGCCCCCCAGCTGAGGCGATTCGATAAAAAGCTGTCGGCCCCAAGCCTTGCCCAGCCTCCGTATGATCGTAAACGGAATGCCGTCCGCATATACATGCACGACATGCCGTCGCGTCGCACTAGTCTTTTTAGCCGATGATCACAAGCAGAGCCAAGTGTGAGAATCTAAGACAACAACCTCCAGCCTCTATATCTTGAAATGGACTCGTGAATATGAAGCCCCTCGGGTGCACATATCAACAGGAATTGCTCTGTGGGGTCGATGGTGCCGGTTGCTCAGCGTCGACGTGACCCCTTTGCCGTGCCGTCCGGCCCGCGATAAGCGGGCTCGGGTCGTACACGTATGCACGCCGGGTAGTTAATTCAGCTTTCGGAGAGGAGCGGTCTGGTGTTTTTATGTCAGCAATCCTGTGCGACGAGATGGATTCACTTTATGAGTACCTATTTAGAACAACAACGTTTATAGGATCTCACACGTACGACAACTTGTGCTTATGGCGCACCACTATGCGATAGACTGACTGAGTGACTAAGTGGCTGAGTGACCGACTGGGTGAAGTTTACGAAGTCAGACATCTAGTTACACTACCGACGAAACGAGAATGGAACGCATGAAGCCGACGTCATATGTTCAGCCAAGACACGCATGTTCATCTGTGGCTAATCCGCCACTCCGAGAATACTCCCTCTCCGAGCCATAGTGTGAATAAGCGAGTCTATCACGAAATATCACCACGATAGCTGGCTAGACATTGGCATGAAGATCTGGTAACAGTGGTATAAGTGATGTATATACGCGGGTGAATAAGCGCGTTTTAAAGTAATGCTTCAGTGGTAGACAAAATCTCAGGGGCGCAGTGCTATTCATCAAGCGAACAGGTTTGCCCAGATGCGACACTACAATTACCGAAGGAGAAGGCGCCCGTCTCTATGATCTACGTGTGGGCCTGAATGTCTTGGACGAAGTCTTGGATAGAAATTTGACGGATAAAACATACATAGACGTATTCCGTTGGGGGGACTGAAGGGCTGGTATGGGGATCGACCTGTTCATAGCAATACTGCTGGATGATATTCATTCCAACCGAATATATTCGAGTTCCCTTGTTAATTAGCCCACAATGTAATTGCCGTTTGGTAGTTATCATTATAATTAATAGATTGACATGCAGATCTCTCCTATCCAGAGGCTAAGTGAGTACCATACATCTTCCGCAGAGCATGTCCAAGAGAAAATCAACGTCCATGCAGGGACGGCAATGAGAACAGTATGCACATACAAAACCATTTCCACATGGCAGATGTGTAAAGGTAGGTAGGTATGCATCGAAGTCACCCCCAGACTTCCTGCAAGACCTCGACATTAAGTTGCCACCCATTCACACCTTTTGAAAACCAATTAGGCTTCTTTACTCGCGCGCATTATGTTGTTACCGCCTCTGCGCGAAACAGGTATTTAATATACAGCTGCCGGCCAAGGAACAACTCACCATCAGCCTGGCGAATTACACAATTATCAAGCCATGCTTCTATCAAGTAGAATCGCATAACGTTGAGACATTACGGATCCGTATGTACACAGGCATAAATGGAAAAACAAGGGGGCAAGACCAAGCCCGGGAGTTCCGCCGTGTCCACGGACTTGTCCGCCTATCTATTTTTGCGCCGGATTGTCCAAGAGATGTTTCTCAACGGTAGTAGCGTTGCTTGGCGTACCAGGTTAGGTACTTAACTTATCTCTATCTTATAGCTCAGGATCTATTTGGTATAGCCATTTATAGTTACCTACCCGACGATTTGCTTATTCGAGCCCAACCTATCCTTACCTCCCAATCCTTGCCTATAGCGGTATGGTGTAATCAATACGTTTCGAGTTTTAAGATCGGAAGCTCTCCGTAGTCTTGGTACGGCGTCGGACCTGGTTGCAAGTGCCATGCTAAGCCTTAAGCAAGTGTCAATCTCTTGTCAGAGCCTACCTAAGCTTGCCAAGTATCGCGAACTCGATGATGAGCCGTCTTGCGATTGAAGATAGTATCGTTATTGGTTCTATAGCTCAGCGGTGCCTGGAAAAAGAAAGCAGGCTGTACAGAATGTAGGCTCATAATTGGATAGGATTTGAGGCCAAGAAATCAAATAGCAATTTCTGATCCGGTGCCGCAGCCGATCGATCGGTGTGTCTCTTCAACATTTCATCCTATCCGTGGTTTCTCTGCGGAGCGCTCATTCTCTCGGCGCACAACAATTCTCAACTCGTACATAGCTAAGAACGTAAGAAGGTTCCATTATTGAATGACACTCTGGACGACATAAACGCCTCAACGGGGACGAAGTAAAGCCAAATCAAGGAATTGAATACTAGGATGGCCGATATCGAAACAGCCTACAGATCCATCGTGAGGTGCATCAACGAACGAAGATGAGAGGAACTGCCAAGATACATGCACTCGCACATCGTCAAGGACGGCCAAGACTTCACGGCCGAGGGCTATATCGCCGAAATGAGGAAGACTTGCGATGTCGAGCTTACCATCGATGCTGTGGCAGTTGACAAGTCTCAACAGTGAGTGCATAGCAGCAACTGTCCTGGTGAGGTTCAAGCCTGCGAGTGTAGTTGTTGACGATGCCGCCATACCCGGCAAAACCGTCTCGTTCACGGAGCAAGTGTGTTCAACTGGTTTTACAGAAGGGAAGCTTTCCAAGACTCTAATAGTGGCAAATCGTCTCGAGATGCAGCGCCAACTTTCAAACCCCGATGCAAGGTACACGTCGGACCTTATCACCGAAGAGAATCCGCCAAGAGGCTCTCTTGACGGGGGACTTATCCGCGCTCGAACTAGAGAGCACGTATAGAGCGTATATTGATTGCACCATGGCGCGAAGAATGGAGACGGACCTGCACAAATTTGTTCACCCGCACCCGGTCTTCAACACCAAGACTCTGACGGAAGAGGACTACCGACAGGCATTCTTCACAGCAACCCCTGGACCTCGTCCTTAGCATCCCCACCATCGTCGTGGACGAGCAGACGCAGCGAGTGGCGGTACGGATGGATTGCGATAGCCGGCAAGCCCACCGACACGTTTGCTGGCGTGAAGCCCAACGGCGGGCGCTGTCAGCATCCACGATCCACGAGCACGTCACCTACCGCTTCGAGAAGGGGCAGGATCGCGAGGGTAGGTATGGAGCATCGTCGACCGGGCGTCCTACGCAGAGCAGATGTCAAATTAACATTCGCTACCCCGTAGCACAAGGAAAAAGAAGGCCCGGGTTTTCTTTTACAGTATCGTGATAAGCATGTGCCCTGGGGAAACACAGAGCTCCAGACCATTCATTGCACATACACACACACACACAATCATACAATAGGTTAGGTACATACAATACAATACAGTGTAATACCAATATCAGACATACCATTGTAGATCAGTAGCAGTAGCAGTAGCCGTAGATAAAGCATGAAGCTGGAAAAGATAAAAATATCTAGTCCGTGTATCAAGAAGCACTCCGAGATCCATATCGTCTGTTTCGCATGTGACAGCTCCCCTGTTCGAATGGAAGAATACCGCAGGGGTACCCCTGGTGATGACAACGGCGGCGGCTTTGATATCTGGGCGTACATGCCTGATCCACATGGCTAATGCCCTCTTAATTTGTAGTATATACCTACCTAGTATTTTTTTTTTCTTTCTTTCTTCCTCTTTCCTCCCATGTAACCCCTGCTGGCATCATACATATGTAAGAGCTTATGTACCTAACATATTTGCATGGGCAAGGGCCTGGCAAGTGCCGGGCTAGGCGCTTCTTGTCTTCAATAGCGTTGAGACCCGATAGCGTTACTATCCAAGGGTACAATTAAAAAAATAAATAAGAATAAAGGATATCAGGTCTTGGCTTAATTCATCCGCCTTATTAGTTGCGCGTCCTGATGCTGTGCTGCTGTGCTAGTGTCAAATAGTGCCCAGTGTGTGTGTATATCATTATCTGTGCACTTTCTACTCTGCCACTCTGCCACTCTGCCACTCTGCCGCTCTGCCACTTCTCTGCCACAACGGCTTGGCTCAGCTGGGCTGATTCTAGATTGAGTACATAGGAGAACGTTTGCCACATCGCACAAAAGAAGAGGTGAGCAGACCGAATAAAACACAACAGAATATGACAGACCATACAACGGACACTTGTCAGATTGGGATTGTAAATTTGGCCGAATCCATCCGATGAACCAATTTTTTTATTTATTTTCTCTATGCGATGTCGTCTTGGCTGCCGCGGGAGTTTTCGGGTTGTTCTGCTTCTGTACATATGTAAAACCTGTTACCCTTTCAAGCCCCCCCCTTTCCGCATCCTTTTTTGTACGTACCCCCACTGCGCCGACAAGCCAAGAGCACCGCCAAGCGTCGATATCTATCTTCCGTGTGAGGCTCATGCGTAAGCGGACTAGGGCCAGGTCCGCTAGATCTAATTTGCTTGGATGGCGGCCCACCGGCCTCAATCATCTTCATGTTTGACGTTGTCCAGTAAGAAGCATGTACAAGGATGACGTTGTTACGGTCCAATAGGGTCGTGGCTTGGTGCCATGAGGCTCCATGGGATGGGCGATCTCCCTTGCGCCAAGTCGCCGCCTTGTCTTAGCTAATAACCAAAACGAGATATCGTGATAAAGATTTTGTTTCTCCTTTACCCTCGACTCCTTACTCGTTGCAGACGATGAAGCTAGACAAGGGCATAGCTTCTATTTTTGAAGTCGTCGTCGTTTCCTGTAGCGCTCTGTGGAGTTTGTGGAGGAAGGGTTTAAACACGTCTAGTGTAATCCGTACCTAACATAGCGTGAGTGTGTAAGTGGTGTAGGTGTAAGTGGTGTAAGTCAGTGGTTCCTCGCACCTTCGTCTAATGGTTGCAGGGTGTGCAAGGTTTCGGAAACAGATACTCTGTTATTTGGTTGGGTTAGATTGAATCTCGAATACCAAGAGCTTGTCTACCAAGAAACTTGTATAACTCTATACGTCGGAGGTGTACACTATGTACGGTTAAAAGTGTCTGTGGATCCTACAGCCATGTCTCGTCGGGCAGCGTTGAAGATCATAATGGAAGCTCGGTCGTAGACGGCCGACCTTCATTCGACGATCAACCTTATCGCGACCCTGCCGTGTCATTCGGATCCCGGGAAAGCCCATCATCTTCTGTTTCCTAGCTGTTTCCTACTTCCAGATGTTTTCTGCTTTCTTGGCTCGAACCAACCAGGGTGGCTGTAGTACCCATTACTCATAAAGGCTTCGTAATTGCCCAGTCACTCGAGTTCATACCAAGAGCTTCTCCATTTGGGTAACATTTCGCATTTCGCATTTCATTTCTTCTGACGAGGCCGGTACTCTCTATTCTCTACTTATTTTCTTTTTTTATTCTCCTATATTTTCCTTGAAATTTTCCCTTTTCCTCTGGTCTGGTTCATCTGGTTCTTGTTTATCTGTAAAGTTCTCCTTTCTCCTTTTCTCTTCTTCGCCCGTTGCCTCTTCGACACGGAACTATTTGTTAAGACTTGTTATTCATCACAATGGAGCGGACACTCCTTTCCCAGGAGACTCTCTCCTATCCGACATCATCAACGCCATCTTTATCGTTTCGCACCTCAGACCCGACGGAGGTACAGTTCCCCGTAAACGAGAAGAAACATGATGGACAATTACCGGGGACACAAGCTAGTTCTGCTGCCAACTCGATATTAGAGGGTAAGGAGAACCACACCGGCGACTTAGAGCATGGCAGCCACGAGCACGGACAAGACCATGTAGATATCTACGATCCAAACCGACCGAAGCTTGGAGTCCGCCAGCGAATGCACCACTTCACATGGGCGTGGTTTACCCTACCCATGAGCACTGGTGGATTATCACTTCTTATCTTTGCCCAGACGCATCAATTTCCTGGGCTTAGACAGATCGGTTTATTCGTGTATATCGTCAATCTTATCCTATTCACAACGTTGACCTTTGCCATGCTATCGCGGTTCTTCCTTCATCATGGTGACTTTTACAAATCTCTGTCGCATCCTCGCGAGGGCTTCTTCTTTCCGACATACTTCTTATCCATCGCCACTATCATTACCAGTACGCAGCGATATGCCATCCCGGATAACGATACGCCGCTCGTGTGGGCTATTCAGCTCGCTTTCTGGGGCTATGTCGTTATTACCCTAATAGTGGCTATCGGACAATACAGCTTCGTGTTTGCGGCTCACAACTTCGGCTTACAGACGATGATGCCAACATGGATACTCCCGATCTTCCCTATCATGCTGTCGGGAACTATCGCCTCGGTCATCTCAGATACTCAACCCGAAATCTCAGCTATACCCATTCTGATCGCTGGTATGAGCTGTCAAGGCCTAGGACTCTTCGTTGCAATTATGATGTACGCTCATATGATTGGACGTCTGATGTCAGCCGGTACGTAGTTCAAACTTAACAAAAATCATACCCAAAGATGATATGATAAAGCTAATCAAAGGAAATAGGTCTTCCTAACCGCGAGCACCGACCTGGTCTATTCATGAATGTGGGACCCCCGGCTTTCACTGCCCTTGCATTTATCGGTATGTCGAATGGTCTTCCCGATACCTTCGATAGGGAGATGGACGGGTTCATCGACGTACACTTGATTAGGACTTTTGCTATAATTGGGGCCATCTTCCTATGGGCGTTGTCTCTCTGGTGGTTCGGTATCGCATTGATTGCTGTAATATGCTCGCCCCCTAAATATTTCCACTTGGGATGGTGGGCAATGGTCTTCCCTAACACCGGTTTCATCTTGGCGACTATTTCAATCTCCAACGAGTTCGGGAACGAGACGGTGAAATGGGTGACGACGGCGATGTCCATCTGCTTGTTGGCCACGTATCTCTTCGTCCTCTATAGTCATGTGAGGGCGGTAATTGTTCAGGACATTATGTACCCTGGACGGGACGAGGATGTCGAAGATCATTAAAAAAAAACACATCAACAATTATTACATTTCCAGAAGAAGCGAGAAAAGGAGGCTATACAGTTAACGTATGATGTTCCTTTCGTCTTTTCACATAACACTCTGCCTTGAAGATTATTCTCTTTTACATAGACTCAACGGTGTCCGGGCGGGCGCTAGGTTTGGTCGGACACCTAAAACAATTGGCTGGTTTTCCTTTTGGCATTTGAGATATCCCTAGCATATTAGAGAGGCGTGGTTCCTTGGTTAGCGCCCCATAAGTACACGGGGGCGGGCAAGGACTGAGCCTGTATTTTCGCATAATATAAATAGTACGGTTATATAGAAATAAAGATTGTAATGTTGGCGAAATTATAGACTCCGTGCTGTAAGTGATAGTGAATGTTGTAGCTGTAGGGTATATGCCCTGATATAAATATATAAATAAGATATAAGGTTACTTAAGTTCATATGTAGAGTACGTCTTGTAGGTTTACTTAAATTAGGTACGCTTATGCAATGAATCTTTCCCGCTATTTGAACCCGTTGTTAAGAAACTAGTTCAAACATAAGAATATGCAAGTCAGCGTAATGGCTGTATATTAAGTACTATCCTGCAGAAGTTTAACAGATATAACCAAACATCAAAGTTTTTAACAGCCATGAGATGATATTTTAGGAAGTACAGATTGTGAAATTGTACAATCTGAATTTGTGCTGAAGAGACTTAGCATTCTGTCCCGACAACTATAAATATCTAAGTCAGTGAATGCAGTCGGGACAACAGAGTTAGGAATCGTCCGAAATTGAAATTTGTGTCTTGCTTTGAGAGGTACTTTTATATATAATTAGAAACTTAACTACGATAAATATTATTTATCTACCGACTCAAACAAGTCATATACCTCTACGAACTCATCGCGCTTGATCCCGGGGGTTATACAATACCACCCCGTTTCTAAGTTGTGCCAGTTGCGGCGGTAACCCGGCTTCGGAGACTTGTATTCACGGGAGCACCGCGCCGATTGCATTCTCGTAGTCGGCCGCGCGCATTTTCTAGTCAATGTGCCGCAGCTTTACATATCGAGTTGTGTCAAATATGGTATCGGTGACTTTCTGTTGTAGCACGCGAGTTTATTCGGCAGATGGACTTGTCTAGGTTAGTGACCACCACTTGACCGTTCTACTACTATCAGCGCCACTTAGAAACGCGGGGGGCCATGCTCCTAGAATTGTACTCCTTGCGTTGATGTCTGCTGCGGTGGCGTAACGTGCGGTGCCGGGTGGATATGGTACAGGTATTTACACTACTTAGCTTCCGTCTATAGACACTATATATGTAGGGTCTAAAGTGCGTGGAGTAGTTATCGTTACTAGTCGCGGGTGGAGGAGTGGACTCTATATCTATCCATTTTTAGGGCAAATCCTCATCTCAGCAGCTGGCAAGTACTGCTCGGGATACAAAGTATTCAGCCTACCTATGTATTATGTTAGTATTTAAATGCAAGCCCCCCTTGGCATCTCAGATAGCCATTAGGCGCAGTCAATACTAGTAAGCTTTGATACCTAGTTATATAAATTAATACCAACAAAAACAATCCAGCAATCGTGTCCGTAATCCGTAAATGTTAAATTCGTAGGATGCGCCGAGAACGCTGGATTCACACGCCTTACCGAGAACAGGTAGTATAAGTCGACGAAGAGGGTACACTAGCTAGCATCTAAATCACACTGCCGATAGTGTATGTTAGGTACCTACATAGCGGATTTTACCGCTGCGCTGGTAGCGTTTCCCAAATAGGGAGGTCTCCATATTGTCGCTGGGGACTTGATCGCGTGCGCTGTTAGTACAGGGTCTCCCACGTTGTCTTTTTCTTTATGAGAGCCGCATGAGGCAAGTCGCAAGATGTTGTGGCTCGGGGATTCCAGACTCAAACCGAGTATATTATGTTGAACAGACGCAGTTGTGTGATAGGTAGTATCACGTCGGTATCGTGTTTGCCTCGTGGGTGAAATTAAGTAGTTGTTTGGGTCATCAGCATAAAGCACGACATCGACGGGGTAGCATTTGCATATCGACCTGGTAGGATATTAGTTTCTAAACCTCTCCTACTATATCTCTAACCATCTAATACGGGTTTGTTAACCGGGACGCATTGCCGATGCCGAGACTTTTCCGCAAGAACCCCAATTGCTCTAAGCATCACGTCTACAACATATATTTTCTCCATGTTACTATACCAGCCTTCTCCCCGCATTGCACGCATTTAATATACCACTACATAATCAGCGACTCATGTGTGTAACTCGTGACATCCTGTCGGATTTATTGCTTCTCGTCTTATCTTCTTTAGCTACGTCACCGTACCACTGGGCAAGCCCCGGGATATCTACCCCAAATGAGCTCCTCGCGATTGTTTTCGAAGAAATGATGCGATTAGACCCCGGACTATGCCCCCCTTGCCTTGACTGTTTATCTTGCTCTACCTTGATAAAAATAGGATGAATAGGGCAAGACAATAGACTCATAATCATTAGAGCGAAGAATAGATTCGATCGATATCGTTAATATCTCCACTTCACTTATTAGAGTGTCATGCATTCGTCAAGTTTGTTAGCGGAATTCACTTAAATTTGATATCTCCGTCTCACCTCTCTGTTGTGGGAAAACACAGATTACCACGAGGAACATAGATATTTCCACCAACCGATGAAGCATTGCCTAATGCACTCCCGGAATCTAGCCCACAATCGGCAACCCCCCCTGCCAAGCCTCTCCAGGTCAAGGAACCTCTGTGGCTATCCACCTGCCTTCCCTGTCCGCCCTGCGTCTCTAATACTACCACGGAAGCTGGGTTGATAATGGCAAGCGAGTAAACTGGCTAGACAGGTTGAAGACTTTATCAACCCTCACTTTTATAATGCAACGCGAGTGCGCGGCGCGATGGCACGTCCAATCTTGCATGCGTTAATCCGCAATTTAGCAGGTCATGGACCCTCGCTGCTCCCCCAGAAGGCTTGCCAAACAGCTACAAATACTCATAGACACTCCCACCTCTGTTTGGAGGCCCAGGTCGTTACCTCTTTCTAGCCCTTCTTCATCGAGTGGTTTGGTGCCCCCGCACTCCCTTTTAGTCTTTCGCTCCTAAACACTCGCTTGCCGGCTTCACCTTGTTGCCGCGCTCCTTGTCCAAGATGGTTCGGGGCTCTTATTTGCTGCCGCTGCTCACGAGCGTGCTTAGCATCTTCTCAGTTGAGGCCAGAATAGCGGGAGAGACAAGACATCTTCCTGGGTCTTACATCGTGGAGTTTGAAGATTCCCAGGTATTTTAGCCTGAACGCGCAGGGAAAGATGTGTGAGCCGTACTAACTAATTGCGACTTGGGTTAGGACTCGGCGGAATTCTTTAGCCACATTGGCTCAAAGGCGAAGACGCGCATGAATCTGGATTATAAGTTATTCAGAGGCGTATCTATCCAATTCCACGATTTGAAGACAGCTGAGGAAGAAGCGGGAAAGCTTGAATTGCTTCCTAGCGTTAAGCAGGTATGGCCAAATAGGGTATACTCGTTACCCAAGGATGAAATCGTCTGGACGGGACGAAGCGGCGGGGCAGACTATATGAAGAACGTTAAGAGGCAGCTTGGAAATGACACCTTCACACCACACGTGATGACCCAGGTGGATAAGCTTCGGGCAAAGGGGATCACCGGAAAGGGAGTCAAGATTGGTATCATTGATTCAGGCGTAGGTGATTATATCCAAATGAAAAACATCAGCGGCTTACCATCTTCAGGTTGATTATACTCACCCCGCATTGGGTGGCTGCTTTGGTGGTCCCGACTGTTTATTCACCTTTGGTACTGACATCGTTGGTGATGACTACAATGGTGACAACATACCAGTACCTGACGACGACCCATACGATGGTTGCGGTGGCCACGGCACGCACGTCTCGGGAATTATCGCGGCTCAGGCCAACGAGCTGGGTTTTACTGGCGCTGCCCCCGATGTCACCCTTGGCATGTTCAGGGTTTTCGGTTGTACTGGTGGTGCTGGCAATGACGTCTTGATTGATGCCTACATGAAAGCGTTCGAGGCCGGATCAAACATCATCACAGCGTCAATCGGTGGTTCCTCTGGCTGGAGCGAAGACCCTTGGTCTGTCGCCGTATCTCGAATCGTCGAAGCCGGTGTTCCTTGCACAGTCTCAGCCGGTAATGATGGAGCGGTTGGTCTATTTTATGCCAGCACAGCTTCCAACGGCAAGAAAGTTACATCGATCGCTTCAATCGACAACGAGGTCACACCTTTACTTCTCACAGACTCGAACTTTACTGTAGATGGCGGCGAGCAAAAGCAATTTGGCTACGCTCTCGGAGAACCAGGAGAATGGGCCAACGTCAATCTTCCGCTGTGGACTCCCTCCTTCGATATCACAGAGGCTGATCAGGGCTGCACGGCATTACCAGAAGATACTCCTGACTTGTCAGGTTACATCGTGCTGATCCGTCGCGGAACTTGTACCTTTGTCCAGAAGGCAACCAACGCGGCGCAGTTCGGAGCGAAATACGTTCTTTTCTACAACAATGTTCAAGTTGGGGCAGTAGGTCCTGCTACTTCCGAGGTTACCCGCGTCCAGGGAACTGGCATGGTAAGCGAACGAGCTTTAGTTTCCGTTAGTATCTAGCATCATAGCTAACATTTAAATTAGGTGACAGCTGATCAAGGTGAATCGTGGGTTGCTTCGCTGAAGAACGGATCCGAGATTCTTCTTAACATGCTTGACCCCTCTACCGCACCTGTTAGGTAAGAATCTGACAACGAACTTCAGCGTGTAATATCTAACAGGCAATAGTTTGACCTACCAGAGCAACACTATCACTGGTGGATTCGCAAGTTCTTATACGTCCTGGAACCCGACTTTCGAGTTGGATGTCAAGCCACAGCTCGCTTCTCCTGGCGGTAATATTCTATCGACGTTCCCGATTCCTCTGGGTACTTATGCCGTCTTGTCCGGCACTTCGATGGCGTGTCCCTTGGTCGCCGCCATCTATGCTCTCGTCTCAAACGTCCGCGGCACTCTCGACCCCGCTACCCTTGAAAATATATTATCGGCGACGTCGAATCCGCAGTTCTTGAACGACGGAACCGAAACTTATCCATCGCTTGCGCCTGTTGTGCAGCTCGGTTCTGGCATAGTTCAAGCCTACGATGCTGCTTACGCGACCACTTTGCTGAGCAAGTCCAGCCTCGCCTTCAATGACACGGATAACTTCGTCGACACGCTGAACTTCACTATTAAGAACTTGGGTTCTGAAGAAGTCACTTACGAATTAGGTAGCGTAGGTGCTGCAACTGGATACACCTTCTCTGACTCCATATACCCGGATCCTTTCCCGGGTCTAGAGTTAACAGACGAATATGCCACTATCGCGCTTAGCGAGTCTAAAGTGACCGTTCCAGGCGGGGAAGAAGTTGTCGTTTCTGTTACGGTTACTCCACCTGCGCTTAATGCTACCCGCTTACCTGTCTATTCTGGCTATATTACCCTGAACGGCACTAATGGCGATAGCCTGTCTCTGCCGTACAACGGAGTCGTTGGTAGCCTACACAGCACGAGAGTCCTAGATGTCGGTTACCTCTCGATCTCAACAGACGAAGAGCTAGACCCCATCACAGCTAACGCTTCATTCGTGCTGCCGAAATCCAACAGCACTGCCGCCAACGCCACATACCCCGTTGCTGTAGCGCTGCTCGCATTCGGATCACCCCAAATCAACGTCAAAGTTGTTTCGGTAAATGCTACTGCTTACGCGGGTGCAGATGTTGGTAGCCACATTTTCGGTTCACCGCTCCGCTACGCTTCTCGTGATCCCTTCGCTTTGAGTTGGGACGGAAGGCTTGCGGACGGCACATGGGCACCGGCAGGCGCGTACAAATTGCGTTTCGAAGCGCTGCACATCTTCGGTGACGCTGCCGATCCGGCCAAGTATGATATTGATGAGTCTGTAGAATTCTCTATCCGGTTTATTTGAAGACGTGATATCTGTATATTAGAGAAGAAAAGGAATAGCGAGCATTTTATCCACTGTCATAAATACCTAGGGTTACTCCTCAGTGAATTAGTAAAGATAGAATACGGGTCTGACTCCTTGTATTTCACTTGAAATGTATATAGATTCAGGTTGAAATAGATGATAAGCTAATTGTTGCTGTATTTCTGAACGATATATCGTCTGATCTTTCGATACTTCAAACAGTTGTAGTTAGCAAAAGTATTAGTAGTAAAAATGGTGTTCAAACAAGACTTGATCTTGAGAAAGGGAAAGAGGGAAGATGATGTCCAAGCTATGAAAAGTTGAGTTTATGCGACTCTATCACCTGGTTTAGTACATATATATCTCTCAATGGAATATTCTAGTCTTAATTCCGTAAGTTTAATTGCTTTAGCCCGGAAGTTCACTTAAGACGTCTACCCAATCAATGACTGCGGGATGACAATTACGTAGGATTACGTAGGTACCTACGTACCTATCGATAGACGGTTATCGTGCATTTGGATTTTTAATATGGTCGACCTTTGCGACCTTGAGTGTAATTTGTAATTCCCGTAATTCCTTAACATCTCAACTCCCGGCTTCACATAATATTGTATAACAGATACGACAAACCCGATTTTCTACTATACACTCTTGTCTGGTGGTATTCTCTGCATTTCTTACGAGGTGTGTTCGATTTAATTATCATCATGCTGTGTTACCGTTGCCGTCGCCTCGTTGCGATAGCTCCTAAACGAAGCTCTGCCACCTTGTCGCGCTACGCTCAGCCGATACACATATCCTCGGTACAAACTCAAATACGAACATTAGCCCAGTCAGCCATAAGCGACCATTTCAAAGCTCAACACGCCATTATTCGACACTATTCCTCCTCTCCCGACTCTGCAGCAGCAAGCTCAGCTAACGCTCCACCGACCGAGTCACCTCGCCTCGAAAAGCCAGATTACCTTGACGATGCCGAGTCGGCAATATGGGACAAGCTAACGGCCGAGTTCGCACCGACGGAGCTTATGGTTCAAGATATATCAGGTGGTTGCGGGTCCATGTACGGGATTGAGATTGCATCGGAAAAGTTTCGAGGTGTGAATATGCTAAAGCAGCAAAGAATGGTTAATGCTGTGCTAGGCGATCAGATGAAAGGCTGGCATGGCGTCCAGCTACGCACCAAAGTCCCTTAACTCCGATGTATGAGCAGTTGGGCTGCAAGAATTACAGTTCACCTATCATAGACTCTATACACGGTGGAGGCAAGCCACAGGGTCTCGGATGCGTTTAATATCGGACATACTCATAGATAGACATGAGAAATGTATATCCAGACATTAAGAGGGGGTGTTGTATATATCTCGATACTGAGATGCGGTAGACTCGACCTCCCGTACCAAATTCAAACTCTCCCATCCTTGGTAATGCTAGGTATTGTAAGACTGCAGAAACAATATCTACTGGAATGAGTAAACGCATAATTATATAAATTTGCACCGTAAGTTTAGCTACTCTTATTCTACAATACCCAGCATATCCAAACATAATATGGTAGGAGCATGACAATAAGTCAGGGTTCATATCAATTTCCAGTATTATACTAGTTTGGCATGTATTTGGCTTGAGGCGCCGCCGGCTGTAGCTACATCCATGCCTAATCTTTCCTACGTTGCTTTTCAAGAAGCTGTAGTATCACATAACGTGATAGCCGCTAGTTAATTAGCTCCTCGGGAGAATCTTTCTAGAATATACAAGGTGCGCCAATGTCTATATCCAAGCTTCGGCAACAATGATCTAGGCTCTGATTATTGATATAGGGATGACGTGTCGAATAGAGCTAGAATTCTTCCTTATTTCCCCATATTTCCCGTCTTAAATATCAGCGCAGATTAGCTAGCGGCCGCCACCACAGACACGGAATGAGAAATTCCCGGTGTTGTACAGCATCATTATAATAGACATACATGGTACTCGACGTCAATCTAAGACCACAAGCCCAAGGTAACTCGTATATGCAGCGATATCCACATACCATCTCCTTACTTGCCAAGTGAATACCTAGTAGCTAGCGTGAGGCAGTTATCCAATGCCAATATTAAGAGGAGGAATAGCTTAGAAACTTCCTAGGAGGTAGGTCAGAGCGAGGCCAAATTAATCCGACCTGCCCCTCATTTTACCTCATAACTCGCCTTCGTCACTCTGCGACAGCCCTTCAAGGATAAATCACAAAATTATAAAAAGTATTTCATCTTGTATGAAATTGGCTATTTCCAGGCTTCAACGCGAAAAGTTCACTGTATAATACATGCTTTGTGTAGTGAGTTTGTTTAGTGATGGTTACAGTATACGCGAGTGAGTGGAACAAACTCACTGTGAATCTGCTTTGCAAAGCAGGACATTTATATAATTTCTGAAAAGGACTCCATAGTAAAATCATTCATAGCACTCGGCAACTAGTGTACGTAACTCGACTAAATTGTTAAGTTAGAGTCATTTAACAAGGCGTCCAGGAAATCTTAGTTCAACTAAATACCACATATACATACCTACCTAACGGTTAGGTAATATAACACTGAATTCTTGAAGAGAGCCAAGTCTGATCTTAATTTAAAGAACTGTTCAATCCACCGTATACAGAACCATGACCGTCACGTCAAGTAGAATTGGTTGGTAGATATGGTAAGAATAGTCAAATTGAATTTCTATGTTAGGCGAGTGCTCCTTGATGAATTAACTCGTCTACTTGTAAAATATAGACTTCTAATAAAGCTCTAAGCATCTTGTGCACCCACTCTTGCTCTATACCACCTCTATAAGTTAGGTTCCAATTTACCACAATTTCTTAAATCCAAAGGTATCTCCGTAGGTGTACACCAGATTTTGGCGTTGATTTATCTAGGAGCCCGAGGAACGCCAAACCCGCCATCTCGTCGTAGCTTTCGTAGAAGAGATTGCTCATCAGGGGCTGTGAATGTAACGTATTAGTATTCGATTTATCACTGGTATAATATTTGTAGACTTACATGGAATCTCCGTAGCGACGCTCTGGTCGTAGACAATAATTTGTGTCGTCGTTGTCGATGCGGCGATGATTGCCGCCGCACCGTCAGGAGATGCATAATCCATTCGGATGGCGCTCACTTGAAGAGCGTAAACGCCAGCATAGCTCACGACGAGATCGGGGAAGACAGAGTATTCCTTAGCTCGGCTGCTTCGAGAAGCAGATCTGTCATGCATACTCTTGCCGGATGTCGTTAGTGTGCCGTACAGTTGGTCCTCGAGAACGCGTCCGTAGGAGTCGATAAGGGCAACCTGTATGAAGTCGTAGGTATCATCGCCTTTGGAGCTTACGACGAGTGGCGGGTACATGACTGCTCCCGCCTGGACCTGCGTCGGTGGTTGGACTTCAACCTTTACCATGGCTGCGGCAGATTTACTTCGTGTAGAGAGGGTCTTGGTGCTTTCCTAACTCGTTTGGCTGCAGCGAAACCTGTATGCCGTTGCCGTCTAAAAGTCGATATCCTACCATCATTAAGGAATCTTGCTCGAGCTTTTAAACCTTGAGTGCTTGAGTGGCACCAGCAAAGTCTCAGAAGCATAGAAACCTTACCAATGCTTTCGTTTATTGTGACATAGTCCCCAGAGTCTTAGCAAGGATAAATTATTCCAATGGGGCTCTATGTGACTTGCGGACATTTCCGCTGGAACGGGGTCCGCGCCTGTCATTTGTTACGTGTCAACGACTCATGGGGTTCTTTGATATATCACCGCAGGGGGTGAGGCTCTAGAAACACGACTCAAATAGTAGTACAGGAGGTATATACCTATGTTCAATGTAAGGTATCAAGCCCGGACCTCAATCCCAAGGAAATAGTCACTCCGTATTGTCCCCGCCAAGAGTAGAATGTCCTTTCTTGGACAGGGGATCCTATATTCACCCGAAAAGCAGAGAAGTGACGTCTTGTTCCTTCCATGGTATAGAGTAACTATTTCGATATGCTCAATTCTTCCGCGGAGATCTTAGCCTAGTAAATGCGTCGATAGCTACGGTATGATGCTATAATCGCAACGTAAAAGATGGAATATCTTAGGCCAAGGCTGAGGCCTGTAAAACAGGGCAAACTATTAACTAGTTTCTGTAGAATGAGATGGTGTAAGACTAGTGAGATATGATCAGTAATCAAATAAGGAATAGGCTACTAGGGACAGACGCACGGCAAATCAACGGTCTATAATGGTCTTCCGTTGCACACGATCTTTAAAGATCTTGGATAGATCTAAATCGGAGGTTTTCACTTGTCGTTGGATCTTGGGAAGTACAACAAATATGTCGACAAGGGTCAGGGGTAAAAAGTATTGTGCATATCTACAGGGTTCTTTGCAAGGGTTACCACACTCCTGGGAATTTCCGGGGCGCGGAACACGTCAAGAAGTCCGGGGCCTTCATTTACGCTCCCCTAGTTCAAGCCTCACCCAGGCTTGCCAGGTCGTGATGGAGTAAAAATAACATTTAATTAGAAGATTTTCCCTTGAACGTCCAAGACGCGAGTCCTACGATAGGATCGTGAGTATTTTGCTACGTCACTTTTGACGCGTCAGTACAAATCAGCTAATGTAATAAAAATTGTGCGGAAATAGGAGTTTACATACAAGACAGAAAATAAAATCCGCAAGTCCTAACTGGCCCAACGGCCGCCTTAGTGAATGGGACGCTGCTACTGTAGAGCCTCATTTCGCTAATACAGGGCCAACTCTACGCTTGGCATTAATGATGATAGACACGCGCTCGGCACGCGAAGTTATCCACGATTAGACATTTATGAATTATGCATTTTCTTCACTTTCCCATGGCGGCTCATGGGAGAAAGATAATTCGTTATCTCCCTGACGGAATGCCTTCCGTTATGGCTGGTATTATATGGACACTTGAATCAATCGTTCCACAACGCCTCCAGCCTTATGTCTTAATAGACTCATCTACAGATTCAAGATCGCCAAATCGGAGCAACTCGACTTATGATAGGTAGTAACCACACACAGATAGATTTTCGCTGCATACTATCCGAAACATACTATACACACCAAAGCTTCTTACATAGACAGACTTATACTTTTATGCGCCAAAGAGGCGTGGCGATCTCGAACGGCTCTTCTTCATTGACTGTATTTTTGCGGCCGAATGTGCATTAATGCAATTTATTTTCGAGGCTGATCAGATCCCGAGAGATTCTGAACCAATGAACCAAATCCCGGTGAGTTTTTTGTTTTTGTTGAGCCTGTCGATAGTCGGTCGACCTGCATTTTATGTAGATCTTGCATGGACTGCTAGCAAGATCGGTGACAGGGTCGATCGTAGATAGGGCTGATGCTTCGAAGTACCTACAAATAAGCAAAAAGATAGATACTACGTAACGACACAGCTGAATAGAATTTTTCCATCTTACAGAGAAAAACTTTTAAGCTATTGCCGGGAAGTGATGCTGCCGACAGACTAGTTAACGGGTTCATAAGCGAATCTTTCAGCTAACATGATTTTAAGCTCCCTCTATTACTTCCCGTGGGTGAGATACATTACAAGTCGATACCCCTCACGGTTTCACGACAGGGGACCCTGAAATGGCTGTGGCGTACAAAGCTAGGCGGAAGATTCGATTCGAGCTAATGACTTTGTGTTTTGAGCCATGCATATGCTCAACATTGACTATTTCCAGTTCAATTCCAGTTAAGACATGGAGATGGTTGTCTCATTTAGCCTTGTCTTACGAAACGGTCATAGGTCTATCAACACTAAATAGTGTTCCAAAATATATTGGGCTCGATCCTCGGTTGAACGTAAGGCTACCGAATATCTGTTGGGCATCGGAATTTACCTACCACAAATCCTAGTGATCCTTTCGCCGCTACATAGTTGGACGCCCCGACAACATTGCCGAAGTTAGGACCGGAGCTCTAGCTCGGCCGCCATCCGGGATAATTATTAAGTAAACTTGACTTATAGGTGGACAGTAAATAATTCATTGTTCTCGTTATGATTGTATCCTTACTAACTAACACGAATTCCACCTAGTCTCGTGGCCTTATTGGAGGCATCGTTCGATTCATTGGTTGTACCTGCTAGTCTTAGATATATTGTATATACGTTACAGGAGATGAACCACTCGGTGCTTTTCAAACAATACCGAGTAGTCCTACTGCTTTTCTAGTCCATGTTCAACAAACAAGCGTACCATCGCACGCCGGCTGTAGGACCCTGCACTTCCTTCTACCTAGCATTATCATATACACGACGTGACGAACATTGCTATCGGGTGCGTATCGAAAGGACAATTTCTCAACCACCAAAAAGTCAAAAACACCTTGAGGCAAAGTATTTTTATGAAGAAAGTTACCTTCTTGCAAGATGCCAAGAAGAAAATCTGTCCCGGGAATGCAGGCGTTGTTGAACGGCTCGTTCCGTACCTCCAGTCTTACAAGCACACCATCGACGGTCAAAATGGTGCCCTCGATTCTAACGTAGCCTAAGATCATATTGGTAGTCTCTTCATGTCGTCCGGGTGTTCTCTCAGGCTCAATTGCGAAATCCAACCTATCGTTATTAGCTGCTTTGCCTTCCCATCCGAGGTATGACCACGATGGGAAATCCGGACGACGGCGGGGCTTAACAGTTTGAAAATGGTACCATCGCATGGATTGCGGGAACTCTTTTAGGGGTAAATTCCAAACGAATCCTTGTGCCAGTAAAGTTCTTTGCAGAGAAGACAGAATACCTCTGAATGCATTTGAGGAGTCTGAATAGTTCGTCATTCTGCGGCTTGTATATTCTTCGACTAATCCTTGGAAAGTAGAACCTGCAGACTCGCGTCGGGACTTCAAATCCATGGTGTATTCCGTTTCATTGGGCTATAAATGAATGAGTTGCTGCTCTCCACTTGACTAATCACGATGCTCAGGAGTGCTTACTCGAAAGGGGTTGAGCTTCTTTGTATCAAGAATATGAATGCCTTCTGGATCAATAGTCTCGTCTACTGACTCGGTGTATTTTGCAGTACTACAGGTAAAATGGATCTGATACTTTCCGAAGTCAATACGGCGACTACACAGAAAATATGCTTGTAGGGTCCAAGCCCGTGTGAAATACGTTACCACACCCATCTCCTCCTATAGAGCTGGAAATAGACTGAGCAGCTGACTACCCTCGATGCTCTCATTAGCTTGAGGTACTCTTGGACTTTTGGCACTCACTCCGCAAAGTCTCGCGTCAGCATCGTTGCCATCAAGGGCGACAATGGTTACCCAATAACAGCTGTAAATGATATCCATTATTATACTTAACTGTTGGATCTTTTCCGGGCTGGGGGTCTGGTCAAACAGCGCATCCACCTTGAATATGTTGTCAGCTAGATATAACCTTCTATCCATCACACGTGAACATGACTTACCCAGAGATACCTTAACCCGAGAGCTTTGGTGACCGTTGTAGCGTCTTCGATGATCTGGGGGAGTTATCCACTCTCTAATGCTCCAGGTTTAGGATTCACGCCACCCCAAACGTAGCTCAAGGTAATGTAACGGCAGCGTGGAGGACAGTTGACTATTTTACGAGATGATATATCGATCATCTTGCGCATAAGGGGTTGATCCGACCATTCCACCCGACATCGAGTATGCTCTCGTTCACACTGGCTTATCCAACTACTCACAATGCCTGATTCCGATGTAATTCTCTCTCACGAGCCGAGAATCCCGGTCTCGAGAGGGCGGCTCTTTTGTGAGAAAGGGCGAATGCCAACTCAAAGCCATATATTGCGTACTTGTCCCCCCATCCATTTGAGGAATTCTCGGTCTGATCCTGATAACCAAGTCGGTTCTAGCTCCGGATAGGCCGTATGAAATACTCGGTATTTCAATCTTCTTCATCCTCGGGGATTGGAGGGAAGACGTGGAAGATCATTCGGCAGAGTGGACACGACGCATCCAAGAAATCGAATAGAGCGGACCTAGGTCAAGCCTTCGGGAGAGGTTATAGTTCTTATTCATCCTTCCACCTATTTCATCCCTGGCGTCTTCGTTTGTAAGCCAATCTATAATTCGAAACCCCTCACACATTTTACAAAGTTGACTAATTGAACTAGCGGGCTCTCCCGCAAGAGGTTTGGTAGCAAGATGATCTGAATCCGCTCTGAGGTCGTTATTGTTGTTATGTCGTTTAAGAGTCGGGCAATTTGATGGCTACTTAAGTATCAAGATGTAGGCGCTAGGGTGGATGCTGGTCTGTGACTATAGATGAATATTAGGATGACGGGAAATTGTACTTAATCTTTAATCTATATCCATATAGTCACAATGTCTTAACTAGATCTCGTCTCGGTATTTAACGAACGGATATAAGAAGCACAAGCACGGGGCTCGACATATAATTGACTTATTATATCTGGGGAACCCCATCAGCCCTACATATGCATTTCCCCAGACTTTGCCCAAAGCTGCTAGGCAGATTCTGGAAAAATGTCTTAAAGGGAAAGTCGAGTATAGTTGGTGACGTCTAGTCTCGGGTGAGTTGTAGACATTAAACAATACTGTTGAATGTCATCTAAAAAAATAACTTGAACAATCGTCCGCCTTTTAACCTTTTAAGATCGGCACAAAAGGCGGAGATTAGCTTTCGGAATCGTCAAATGATCGATGGAATTGAATGAAATAACATATCCGCCTTTACGGGTTTATTTATCTTCAACCATAATTTCCTATTAAATGGTTGATATGATGGAGACTTTGTTCTAGTAGCGCCTGTGAGATCTTGCTGGAGTGGAGTCGCAGATGAGCGACGAAGTAGTGTTAGGAGGAAGTAATATGACGAATGCTAAAGAGGCTTAAAGAAGATGACCCCTTTATTCTTTTTGTGATTATACGAGAGTGGGCCATTCTTTTCTACTTATTTTTCTAGTTCCTTTTTCTTTTTCTATTTCATCTTTTTAAGATGACGATATATCAATATCGAAAATCATAAAACTGGTGCATTATGGGACTGATATTATGGAGATTGGGATCCGTGCCAGGCCTGATACCTACCTACATATGGGCTATGTATGTACGGGCAAACCTGAGACTTGGCAATGCGTTCCGATCTGTGGCCGAGCGTCTTTAACCCCCCCAGACTGGTCTACCCCATGAAGGCCCATGAAGGCCTACGAAGTTGGGTACTGATGAAACACTGCACAGAGCATGACTCACCGCTCTGGCTAATATAAAATTGTCTCACGCTTCTGCAGCGTGGAATTAAACGCCCGTTCGCATTGACTTCCTTCTGTACCTAAGGTATAGTATTCATATTAACAGTGCTAATGGTAATAATAGGGGACGATTAGATCAGATTAGGTCAGATTGTAAGGTGGATAGAATTGATTTAATTACCTAAGGTGCTTTAGTCTTTTGTCTTTATTAAAAGTATAGATGTAGTTACTTCGTAATATAAGACAGGTATTTTATGTAGCGTATGTAGTGTAAGTCACAGCACCTGGTCACATGGAGGTTAGGTAGCGCTTCATCTGTTCAGTTGATATTTTAGGTACCCACATATGTTAGGTAGTCTTTTAGGTATCGACTGTACCTATGTACTACCGTATCGTGAGATATGGAATATAATCACTCTTTGAAAACACCCTCTTTCTACCCAATAACAATTAAAAGGTAAACATATGATGTAAAAGTTATACTTAAACAACAAGACCAGTACATTTCATATGCTATGCGAATACTTGTAATGCAAAGTATATTCTCGAATTCTGTAGGTATTGGTGGGGAAGGACCAGACAGACCAGGTTGTCATGGTAGCAGCCACAACTTGTCCCGCGCTAAGCCATATCAGTATTAGCTCGATGCCGTCGGAAGGGGGGAGATGTTTGAATGTTGACAGTTGAAGAAACCGCCAACAATTCCCATCTTGATTTCTCGGTTCATCGTCAACAACCCGAGTCCATCTTCCTCGACGGACAACAACGACAAATGCAAATGGCAAACGGTAAGTGAATCGGCAAACTCGACATACCAGCGACGGCGACGACAATAACTTCGATACCTACTAAGACCTTTTCTATACACCCCGACGGATATTCTATTTCGACCTTTTTTTTTTTTTCTCTTTTGCGACACGACTCATAAACACGTACCCTCCGACGGTGGAAAATAGACACGTAAGTTTGTGCTCGCATATCTTTCGCATATATTCCTTACGCACCTCGTAGAAAGAAGAACTCTGCGAACAAAGGGGAGTAAGTACCGCTGACATTTTAAAAGAAACAAGTTCATAGTAGAAATCGTCATATCCATTCACAAGTACCATTTATCGAATTCAACCGGGCTTCTTTCTAACTGACGACAACACTCTTCAACTTTTCATATCTCTTTTGTTGCGTTACGATTGTTCATTTAATCTTCTGGAAGGCCGGCACGATTAAGAAAGTGCCGGATAATAATATATCGCGTTAAATCACGACATAAGACTTTTTAAATATTCGTGATACCCTATTCACCGCCGATGCGACAACACCTTTTCTAATCGGGATTGATTTGCGCATACCGCAGTCTACCGACGTAGCAAACAAACATGGCCGAACCACCATCATCACCTCCGAACGAGACCGCCACTCCCGAAGAGTCCCTAGCCTGGTACAAGAGACAATATGAATTATTAGGCGACGAGCTAGCAGAGTTTCGTGAATCCAGCCACGAGCTTGAGGCTGAACTCGAAAAGGATTTGGATGCGGCAGACAAGAGGCAGCGCGCACTACAGCAAAAAGCTGAAGGGCTGCAGTTCGAGGTTGATGAGTGGAAAGTAAGTACATGTTTGCTGGGTCGCATCTCCTATATTGCCCCGTTGGCCTGTAAATCTAACTATGTGCCCCTAGGAAAAATGCAAGAAGGCAAAAGCCGAGGCCAATGCGGCACAGAATGCTTTGGAGAAGGAGATTACGAATCTCCGTGACACGAACCGTACCTTACAGTTGAAACTACGCGATATAGAGGTAGCCAATGATGATTTCGAGCGCCAGGCGCGAAATACGACGTCGTCTCTCGAAGACCTGGAGTCCAAGTACAACGTCGCTATCGAAAGAACCGTCATGATGGAGGAAGAGATCAAGATAGGCGAGCAAGAACGAGAAACTCTACGAATCGAAGCCCAGAGATTGCGCGAAGAATTATCCGACCTTAAGGTCGAGGCCGAGATCATGCAGGACAAGATCAAGAAGGCAGAAAATCGCCACCTGTCTACTATCTCTACGGACATATCTATCCCCGAGTCGCCTACTTTCGAAGGCTCGCCTCGTTCCATGGCAAGCTCTCCTCTCATCACCACGCCCCCCGACGATATCATCTTGCCTCCTACAGGTAAAGATGCGCCTATACTTAACGAGCCTCCGTCGCCACCCATGTCTGATGCATCGGCGCCTCTACCCAGACCCTCTTCCAAGGCCAAGACACCTGGACCTTCAGCGCAGAAGAAATCCCGTCTTCCATCTGCGGATCGCAGCATTACGCCGAAGCCGAAGGGCACTATTTCCGCCAACTTACGGGCTCCAGGCACGCGCTCCGCTACTACCGCGCGCACGCCGGCACCGACACGCACTACGAACCGCGCGGCCTCGCACAGAGTTCCGCCATCGACATCTCTTACCCATATCCGCTCCCTTACCGCCCAGATGCAACGACTCGAGGCTCGCGTCCAATCGGCGCGGTCTAAGTTGCCTGCTCCTCTTAACACACCTCCGCGCTCGTCTCCTAGAACATCGCTTGTGGGAGTAAGCCAAGTACCATCCACTGTTACGATGCGTTCAAGGAAGCGTACCGTCGGTTCCACTACTTCCTCGGTAGCAGATGAGACACCCACTACAGGCAGGCACATATCTAGGCTTAGTACCTCAGGCGTATCAAGATTATCCTTTGGGCAGTTGGCCAACCGACCCAGTACCTACGACCCTGATAGCTCTGCTGTTAGCATCTCGCGACCTAGTAGTCGGGCGAGTGTTACGAGCTATCCAAGACCCGCTAGCCGTACTGAGATTGCTCGTCCAATGTCTCGTGCTAGTTTCTCGAGTGCAAGGACACCTTTGGGAGTGAGACCTAGAAGTTCTCTTACTGGTAGCTTGCATGGCCACTCTCAAAGCGTAAGCCGTGTCGACCTTGAAGATTTCGATGAGCGGTTCGAGGATCGCACCCCAAGTCGTCGAGGAACTTACAGCAAGTTTGACGCTGACGGTTCCACTAGTGGCATCCCAACTCCCAGTGCGATTCCGATGCCTAGGCGGCAGAGCGGCGGGATGCATTCGGCTCGTAGAATTAGTGGTGGCGCGTCGAACGAGCCCGCCACTGGGAGGCCCAGGAAATTAAGCGACCTTGGAGAGACTTACTAGTCCAGCCCCCTCCCCTCCCCTCCCCCTTTATAACATCTTCCTTTTACTCTTCTCTTGTATCTGTTTGAAGTGCCGCGCATATCGCACTGTCGAACGTGGTGTGGGGGCCACTAGCATTATACCTTCGTCGCGGCGTTGTGCCGAGACGTCACGAGTTACGGACGGATTTGCATATCATATTCGCTAGCATGCGTGCTTGCATTTTCATCATTATGGGCAAAGGGGAATTTTTCGGCCGGATGGTGCTGGGCAACGCATCCTGCTCGGTACGGTGAACGATGGTGTTTCGAGGCAGGCGGGGCGTTACGGAACCCAGAAAGGGGCGATACCTATTTTCTTCGGCCTCTTCAGATTGACGTTGGCCTTTTTTTCTCTCATTTTTTTAAACACATACCATGGCGGCGGTAGTAGTTGTTGACGATTCCCTTGTATTGTGTGCGCGACCGCCAGCGTGGTAATGGGAACCTTGTACATATATGTACGGCTTGAGATGAAACGAGATTCAAAGACCGAAGACCGCCTGAGAGTCGGAGGATCTAAACCTGTTGTTGTTGTAGTAGTAATACCAGCCTGAGCGGCAAATATCTTCCCTTTGTTAAATTACACGCTTTACAAAATTTTCACGGTTCCGAGGTTGTGTTAGATATAGACGATGCTGGACATGACAATCTTGGGAATTGCTTGTAGAATACGGTGAGTATATATAGTCAGTGTGCCTGCATAGGAGACTTATGTCGGTGCAGTTGTGTATCTGTATACTATACTAGTTGTAGGGGATTTGCTCTTTTGATGTGTGTAATAAGTCACTTAGACTAAGCCTAGGAAGAGCCAGATCCTAGAATATACATACATCTGAGGGTAAATAGACCTATATATACAACCTAACGTATACAAGGTATGGCTTTTCGTATCTAGAAAGTGGGTTTCGATATAACTTTTCATTACAAGACATTTTAACAGAACTTATCATTATTATCAGTGTTTACTATCATTATCGGTCAGAAGAGGGTTTAACTTGGGGAATTGTCTTGGTCAAATCTGTGTATGAAAGGATATAACAGGTATACCTATTAACGTATTGAAGGTATACATGTCATGAGTCAGATATGTTAGACGGGTATAAGGTAATATACAAGGAGTTGCTGAAATTCGTTACTGTATACGGTTGGAACTTCGCATAGCTCTAGGTGAGTAACACATGGCATGAAGAGCTTTAGGAGAACTCCGGGTACTTGGCTTTTTATAGAAGTTTGTGTCCGAGGGGGTGGATATATATACTAGTTTAGGTACTCAAGATAGATTCTCCCTACGATTTATAGTTTAAGATGGCTAGGCTAGGTACGTTTGGGGTTATGTAAGGGAGAGATATAACCGGCGATGAAAACAAGTAGTGGTACTATATTAATACGTCAAGGGCTTGAGACATATGTGTGGCATGTTAGGATAAGTGCTCAGGTAGTTATATCCAATTGTCTTTACGTATATATTCAAAATAGAACCGTATAAGAAGTAATATAGAAAGGAGTAGATTACCAACCAAGTATTGATAATTTGGGAAATACTATCTAAAGCTATCTTCTAACAGAATAATATCTATATTACCTTCTACATGCGGAGGAAGTCATTTGTTATCCTGTGTTATTTCTAGGTATTGCATTCCGGTGGTGATAACAACCAGTACGGGTCTATGGCTAGAGTTCATGCAGACACATATCCGGGTACACGGTCGGCTCTTTTACCACGCTTGATGCCTTTAGTAGAAGCTACCTGTCGTGTTCTAGAAAAGCGTTGCACATGGCTGCAGAACGCATCAATGATACATACCTAATAGGGATGGCATAAGGCTGGCATTACTGTAACTTGATACTATTACTGTAATCGGCAGATGGGGACGACCCACACGTGATAGACGCGAGCATCTCTCTGTTCGTCATAGGTGCGTCTGTGACAGAGCGTCGGTGGATCACTTCACAGCTGTGCTGCAGGATGACAGTTTCGTGTTAGCAGCGAAACTAGAAGCCGACTCGTCCCGTCGACGTGCAGCAGGAGATGAGCTTGACAAATAGACTATTATATCTAAGTGCTTGGATAGACTTCTAGCGTATTAAGGCGGGTTGGAATTAGACCCCACCAATAATTATTCGTCACTTTATTCGTTGGACGGCCGTGCTCTCTCGATAAACACGCCGAGCTAGCCTTGTTCAGATCCAAATTGGCAAACTCGCCTTCTATACGATTCGAAGGTGTATCTCGATAACGGTTAGCGAGAAGAGACGAATTGTCCTTGGTCCTGTCGGGGAACCGAAGCCCAGTGCCGATATTCTGGGGACGGGCTTACATCCTATAGGAATTGCTTCTAGTACTGAGGCGAGGCTGGACGGGCTTGCTCTCGGGGAAAGACACATCCAGCACATGCTGCTTACCCGGGGACTATATACAGGAGTCGGGTGCCTAACCCCGTACTGATGAGTAGCCAGTGAGAGTGTTGCGGTGATGGTGGCTTTTGACGGCCTATAATCTTATAGTGGGTTGTTTGACAAGGCCGGATTTCTTCGGTCACCGGGGTGTTTCACTTCCTGACATGGATCGCGGATGACAGGAAGATCCTCTAGGATTTGCTTAGTCAATTAATGGTATAGTATCACACGGATAATCCCCAAGTGGTAGGCGGTAGTTGCTTGACTTGATTAAGAGATGGTTGGTTCAAAACGGAGATAGCTTGATAAGATACGGATGCGCGATTGAGGCGCAAACGGGCATGAATTATGCATGCTTACGCGTGTAATATTCGATTGTTCCGAATAACGCCGGACATGATGTTGGGGACCTGCGCTTGTCTTTGGTGGAGATGAGAATTCCGAATTCCCAGATTTTGGCAGCGGTGGATAATGACGACAGACAAGCGAAAAAATCAACAACAAAAAGATAATGTAGAAGGAAATAGTTCAAGAGTTGGGAAATGCCGGCTTGTTGTGCTAGACCAATTTAGCATATTAGCTGCCTGGTATATTGAATATTGAATCGAGCAAGACAACAAAATCAAGATCGTGTTCCACAACGAACTTGGTTGTAATTTGGGCTTGACTCGTTTAAGCGAGCAACTCGATAAATTACTAATTCGCCTACAAAATAATTGGCCAATTCAGGAACCGTAACTGAACCGGACCACTGGATAGCCGACTTGTCGCAGACTATGTGGCTCCCATTTTTTTAGTGTCGAAATTTACCCCAACAATTGAGTTCACTTTAGATCTGTAACTCGATGATACCTGGGTACATGCTAAACTGTCTCCTGCACGATGATATAATCAAGGTCATTATTGGTTTAAAAAAAGATGGAGCTCGAAGATATTTAAGTGTATAATTAACGATGGCAGGTGGAGAGTTATAACAATTAACTAGAATACCTACAAAACGTACGGTCCCCGGAGTATTTGACGATCTTCCGGAATGTTTGTCAATACAACACGGAACAAGTAAGCGGATTTCGCAATGATGACCCAAGATGATTACGATGATGGATGATGGGCGTGCACTGATAACGCCGGGGGATGGATCATGCACAGTAAGCATTGGCCACTGTCCTGAGGGGACCCTGGGGACATGATTGGGAGCTGGAAAGTAAATGGGTGTACATACATATCTTAGGTTAAGGTAGCTATCGAGATAGTGGCGGCCCGGTGCCGGCCCAAGGGGAATATGTACGGAACAAAGACAAAACCCATAACGACAACTACACTCACTACCTCCTAGTTGTAAAATAAAATAGATGGGATTCTCACCCAATTTGTCCCACTTCCCGAGAAGGTTCTTACTGGATTAGGAAACATTTGTTGAGATTCGGGTAATGAGTGGAGAGAGTCCACCGGGACAGCATTGGAAAAGACGTCCTCTTACTGTATTGTATCTTTTATGTGTAGAGTTAGATACTACTACTCTGGTAGATGTGGCTATTGAGGAGAGGGCGCGGAAATAAGATAAAGAAGTAGAAAGAGGTTTGTGATTGGGACTGGGAGGATGATAGATATATTCGGGGGAACCCCGATCTATTCCGTTAATTTGATATGATATAGTCCGGATGTGATATTATCCATGGTATCGACTATGGACTACATGTATGTATAGGTAGTTAGTAAATAAAACATCAAGGCAGATGCGTTAACGCTTTGCCGATCTTCTTTTTTATTTGTCCTCTAAGCTAAATGGACTTGACAGCTGCTTTATGTTAGAACTGTCGTGAATGTAATAATCGTAGGTGAAATATAGTTCAACGCACTTATCATGCATCAGAGCGTCTAATGATTAAGAATGCCAATTGGCTTTTTATTCAATTGGTTTTCCATATCTTGTTTTGGCCGGACTTAAGGGACGTTAAAACAAAACGGAAATGCCCCGTCCCCTTGATCTAATGTGACCCCAATAAGTTTAAAATCTTATTCAGCCATGTGGGAAGTTGGGTCTGTACTTACTATGACGGTATCCATCTATATGGGACCCAGGCAAATTTCGGTCTAAGATGTACCTAGAAGATGTCCTTGGATTTGTACCTGTACTGTACCCGGCCGCACCTGCCGCGCCTGTAGCAGTTGAACCTGACCCGAGACGTACAGCCTAACTTTAGAGGACGCTAGGAGATCCCCAACACCCTGGAGTCACCTATGATTGGTCGAAAAGATGACTTAGGTGTCGATCATAACAGTACGATTAGGTTCATTTTAACCGTATCAGCCTCGTTGATTCCCCGAACTAATCGCTAGTCTGTCAGTTTAGTGTAAGCTCCGATCCTCTTTTTTTATTTTTCTCTTGCCCTGGGGCTTGCTTGGGACATGTACATCACGGTATCCCTCTCGTCCAAAAAGGCTTGGATGTCCGGCCAACTTCTTCGCCTTTCCTCTCTGAAACTTTCCAGCTTTTCTGCTTTCCTCACCAACTAGTTGTAGTCGGTGCGTCAGCGCTTGATACATTCTTCCCCTCTAATTCTAATATCTCGACGACAAAGTCAAATGCATGAAAGTCGAAGATTGAATCTGGCTTTACAGTTGTATTTTACGTGTAAGTGGTAACCCTTGTATATGCATATCAAGTGTATATTCAGATATTCACTTATACCCCGACTATTTTGCCGTTCCTTTACTCCTGCGGCCGTGTCTCC